ATTACGGAACTTACAAAAAGCAAACTAACAAAAATAACGGAACTTACAAAAAGCAAACCTAAAAATCCTGTAAACCCTAAACCGAAAATCGAAGAGCGGACGACCAGCCTAACCGACTAATAAAGAAGGGAGAGTAAAGTAAAAAATTTTTGATTAATAAAATGTCATAAGAATAGATCTATCAAAAAACGGCTCTGATATTTCGCGTGTACATATATTTGTTGGGAAGTTGCAGAAGAGAGGAGAATGAACGAAAAAAAAAGTAAAATCTTTAAATATCCGTGATAAAAAAATTTGGGGTAAAGAAATTTTGGGGTATGAACATGCACGAATTTCACGTGATAAATTGATTTTTTATCTTGAGGTAGTGATACTATTAAAGTCTATCTTCAAGTAAGATTAATTACCTTATATAGTAAGATATATGATAGCCCTTTTCAAAAATTACTTCTAATATCATGGTAATTTGTCTGTCGTTAGGAAACCTCCGTCTCCTGATTTGGAATGTCCTATCTTCAAATAAGAATTATAGAGTAGCTTATGTTTGACTGATTCTGAAAGAGGGAATCGGCTATTGAGCAGAAAGCAAAGCGATTTCTATCAAAGTCAATGAAAAAAAAGATTTTCAACAAGAGTACGTGTCTGTTATTGATCATCCAAGCCTTTGTATGATGAAATCCACTTATGTATTCATTATCATTTCGATACTTTCTAACTAAGCATTATAAAAGTTCAAATTTCACTATGAATTTAAATTTTTAGATTAATATGATTTAGGCCAAACCGAAGATGAAACTTTTAAGTCGCATGTATAATATCCCCAAAGATAACCAATGCCAAATATCAATCTGTCTAAAATCTAGCCATGATAGCTGTTTCTATACAAATAACGTTTATGCAGAAATTGCTCTTCTTAGTTTCATTAACGATGAAAACTGCCTTAAATAATACTTTATTCAAAATTCTGGTGAGAGCAAAAACAGAGAAAACCCTTATTTCTCTTCAGGATGAACAAAATGATGAGCTCGTTTGGCGTCTGATACGGTTCATTCATTTTCTTCATTTTTTTAGTTTGCGCTGTCATATTTACTAATCTGAATACTTAATTTTTATATCTCGTGCTTTTCTTTATTAACATTAGTGTAGAACAGGATAAGTACCACTGCATTCAACTATACCTCGAAACGAATCTACGACTGCAGCATTATCAAATATTGGTTTTTCTATTTGCTCGATCTTTGAAACTGCCACAAACAAATATTTTCCGATTGGTCATATCAGAATAATTATATAATCTGATTTATTATATTAAATTATAGTTCTTATTGTTTATAAAAAAAAAAAAAAGATATAAATAAATAGAATCTGGAATACATTTAAAAATAAACGTTTATGGCTAATAAAAATTATAACTCAAAAATACTTTTTTTTTTCTTTAAAGTGAAATGTTCATCAAATGAATTTTTTCTGATCCATTTCTTTTTTTGTTTGGTACAACACAAATGAACCTATTGCTAAAATCATAAATAAAATGAAATACGTGATATATAACCATATAGAAGTAGATGATCCTTTTTTATTTACTTCTTGAAAAGATCGTTGTGTTTGGTGAAACTGTCCAGCAATTCGGCCCTAAATAAAACGCGTTGAAAATATTTAATAAAGGTATTAATACAAAAAATAATAATGCAAATCACAGCTTCTTACATCCATGGCATCAATTTTGCCTATTATTCGTTGCATATCTCCCTTTAACTCTTTAATTGCATACTCGTTCGAACTTATAGGAATTCTTGATACTCTATTTTCTAAAGAAGTTAAGCTGGTTATGACTCTATCCAATTTTTGTCTATAAAATCAAAAAAGGTTAATTTAAGCAATAGAAATAAACCAGTCAAAATATCATTGAATTTAAAGAAAGAAAGAGAGGTTAAATCTTACGAAATGGCTTCTAATTGACTTTCAGTCTTGCTTGATTCACCAGTATAATATTTAGCATAAGAATTTGCACCTCCGGATGTCTGTAACACATCATGTAATCTATCGATCGATTCAAGAATTTTGGTCTGCATCCCTCTAATGAAATCGACGTTCCTCTAATTCGCGAAACTTCAATGTGAATATATAAATTTACATAAAAATAACTTTTCCGATTATATATATACGAACCGAATCCTCTCTGTCCTTGCTGTCTTCTTTGGGAGATGATACAACTTTTTTAATGTCTTCAATACGCTAATAATAAAACAAATTAATCAAAGTTTGAAACAAAGAAATGTGTTGTACTGATCTAATAGAATGTTGTGCGTTTTACATTTTACTTACTTTTTTAACGTCTGTAGGTATTTCATAATTTTCTGCTGGGACATTTTTTACTTTTTCAGCCTCATGAGGGCGTAATTGCCTCTTTAAAATAATTGATTAATTCAAAAGAATATGTAAAATTCAGTTATAAAAACTTTGATATAAATAGAAATTATCATAAGTTAATTACATTCTGTTTCTCAACAGGATTTATTTCATAAGTTTCGAAAGAAAGAACGTCATGATCATCTGATAAGAAAAGCAATAATTAATTGATATAATCTTTTGAATACTTCAATTTATTAAAATAACATACCAGGCGTTTCTCCTTCTGCAATCGCCTAATTTAACAATGAATCGATTGATTAATATACATTCACGTAACTTTTTTTTAAAAAATTGTTAAAATAGCTTACAGAAACCCCAAAATAATATCCAGTTGGCAAATCTATATCTTTTTGTTCGAAACATGGAAGATAAGCTCCCCCTTCGTCATTGGCATCCACTTCTAACTATAGGTGAAAGATATCGTAAATTTATGTTATTGGATGATCAATGTAAAAAGTATAATTATAAATACCTTGATAGTTCTGTTATAATACGATATTCTGGCAAATACAGGTGATGGTGTATTATGAAACAATCTATAACATCCAGCAAGCATCGCGTCACGAGGTTCGGTTATATTATTATAAAGTTTGGAACCGTCGTTAAGATGAGCCATTATAATGGGATGTTCGCGCTATATATCACAGATAATTAGAAAGTGAATTTCCTCATATCATAATCCGAAATACTAATTGACAAAAAATAACTCACTTTTCTAGAATGGTCAACGGTTTCGAACATGATCACTAGTCCAACCCATTCATCCTTATTCCCAAATACCGGCCCTTGTTCAGCTCGATCTTTGGTATACCAAAATGCAATTCCTCTGCCACCAACATAAAATTTCCCTGTAATTTGAAAGGATAACTCTACTTCCCATTCTTTATGTGGATTTGGAAGCTGTGCCCATATTGAACCTGCGTGACTTGGAACACTAGGAGCCAATCGAATAAAATCCGGTGCGAGGAGAGTATCTAATTAATCAATCAATTAATATATAATTCAATTAGCATTTTCTAATAATTCGAAAAAATTTGTTAAAAATGCCTTTTTTTTTCAACATAAACCAAATTTTTTTTCTAAAGTTATAAAATAGACTTACGCCCATATGTATCAAAAAAAGGTATAGTATGATTATAATAATATGGTTTTTTGAAAGTAAGTTTATAGTCGTGTTTTAATTTATTATTCCTATCTTCTGTAGGCTCGCGAGTGTAAGCAAAAGTCGATTCGGAAAGTATCAAAGAAAATATTGATAAAAAGAACACAAAGACCTTCAGTGTTCTACTAGTCATTTTAATACTTTATGCTTCCAAAAAGCATTTAATTGTCTATTATCGTGTCAAATTTTTCGAAAGATTTTATTTGATCAAAAAATTTTTCGTGGCTTTTCTATATAATTTGTCGTGTCTGCATTTATCCAATCATTTGATGACAACTTAACAATTGTGTTACAGAGGAGACTGCTGCGGCTAATAATTTTGCAAAAAAAAAACCAATTCATAAATCGATAATTTCTTTTTTACAAGGTTACTTCCATTCTTATATTTCTTGCTTCTATTGCCTTGGTTTTTTCTATTGCTCTCAATTGTCGAAAAGCATGGTCAGGATGTAAACCTCCATTATTTATTTGATAGAATTGTGCAACCTTTTGTAAAGAAATTCATCAGAAAGGCATCAGGTTTACAAAGAATTAAAAAGAGGTATTAAAATATTTTTTAAATATAAAAATTATGTAAAATCATTAATTGATTATATTTGGATAAAACAAAAACGTCTAGAAAATAAGATTTTACCTAAAGAAACAACCACAAGTTATTGCAATGTTTCCTGTAATATTATTGAATATATCTTGATCATTTTAAATGTTTTCTTTATAGAATATAAGGAAAATTTCCAAAATAAAAAATATAATATTTAGATAAAATTAAAATTTTTATTAAATTTTAAAACCCAAACCAAAATATTGAAACTTTTTGATTTTTATTGCATTACAATTTTTTGATGATAAATCAAATTGATTAAGAATTAAATTTTATTCAAAAATATCTGAACCTGATTTTTTCATATAATTTATCAGCAAGAAGACCTTAACTTAATCAAAATAGAAAAAGATGATGATATACCATCTTTATTAGAATATTACTTCTTAAATTTAGAGAAAATGAAAAATGCAAATCCTTTCTAATTTTTCAGATTTGCTTGATTTATCTTATATTATAAACAATCATATGGATGTGTTTTTAGCAAAATCAAGATATAGATCATATGATTTACTATATCTTATAACTTGATTTTACTAGAAACATTCCCATATAATATTATATAAGATTTAGAAAGATATAATACAAAAGTAACTTTTGAACAACTTTTATAAAATCCTTAATACTTTTAAGAATTAACTCATACTAAGAAAAAATAAAATCATTACCAACTCTTGATTTTCTTTGGATTATAATCTTTAATCTTAATACTTATAAAGACATCATCATATTTAAATATTATATTATATTCAACAATCATTAAATTCAAATTATCAAATAAACATTAATTACAAATTCTAGATAAAATAGAAAACAAATTTGTATTAAACTTAAATTAATGATAAGAATAAATTAAATGTATTATAAAATGCAAATTATATATTATTAAAATTATTTTAAATTATTAAGTTACTAATAAACTAAAACTTAAAACTAAAAATTATTTAATATCTTAATAATAATAAGATTCTAAAATATATGTATAGAAGCTAAATTACTAATATATTATTATCATAATTGGATTATATAAAGTAAAATTTCAATTTGCATACAAATTAAGAAAATTTTACAAATTTTTTATTAAAATATTAATATGTAAAAAATTTTTTTTAGTCTAAATTTGACTCATATATATATTTAAATAATATAAAATCTATTCCTTCATTAGTTTTGCTTTCAAATTTAAAAGGAATTTTACTTACTAATTAATATTAATTTATGATATATTAAAAATTAGTTATTATATAAATAATATTTTATAAAAAAAATTTACATTATTTAGTAACTTATTACATTAATTTAAAATCAAAGTTTTTAAATATTTTTTAATAAAAGTATATTATTTATATAGGCTAAAATTTAAAATTTTATTTTTTTATGTTATTAAAAAATTTTATAAAATATATAATTTTATATTTTAAAATTTATTTATATATTTAAATATTATTTATTTATTAAAAAATTATAAATTTAAAGTTTAAAATTTTGTATATATTTAATTAATATTTTAATTATTAAAATGAAATTTTCTTTAAAAATAATAGATTTATAATAAATTTTATAATGTATTTTAACTAAAAAATTGAAAATTTTCTTTTTAATTAATAAACATACATTGGGTTTTAAAATAAACATAAGTAAATTACTTGCTTTTAAAAGCTTATAACTCATCAAATAAAATGTTAAAAACCAGTATATAAAATTTAAGTTAAAATTTATGTGTATAAGTTGATAAATTATTACTAAATTAAGAAAATTATAATAATTTCTTATATAAATTTGTCAAAAAAAATATTTTGAGAATATTCATTATACATAAAATACTATAAACTATTTACTATTATGAAAAAGTTATATATTAAATTTATAAATTAATTTCTGATTGAAATATAAATTAAAAAAGAATATTGGTAGAGTTGTTATTTAGAATTAAATAATATACTTCATAAGTAAAAATATTATTATCAGTATAATAAAGAACTTTTGGAGATTAATGATAAACTGGAGATTAATGATAATTATTTTGTTTGATATCAAATGAAATATTAATACTAACCTATAGTATAAATATTTAATTGTCATTATATATAAATTAAAAACTTCTTTTATCATTTATGATATTTGAAAAGTAAAATATTACACTTTTGTTGCTAAAAGTAAAGTTTTTAGAGAATCTTAAAAGATAAATTTTCTCAAAATATTTTAATATATTACTTTATAATATATAGTTATAAATAATAATTTTGTTATCTTTTTTTAAGACTATACAGTAAACATTTTATAAGTGCACGTTATTGAGACCAATCATATTTATGTACTTTAGAAAGATATGCATTTAAAAAACAGCTAATAGAATAACAAATATAACAAATATTATTACATAAATATTATAACTTTAAAATTTTCAATATATTAAAATTTGAATAATTTCTCTGATACATTTCAAATTAAATATTATATAGATAATATAGGCCAAAAGGGGGATTCTGGGACAGATTTCAAGTATACCCCAAATAGACCTCCAAACCCCGCCTACGAATCAAATTTGCTATATGATTTCTAATATTAAATTCAAGTCTC